CACGCCTGGATAATTTTTATATTTTTAGAAGAGACAGGGTTTTGCCATGTTGGCCACACTGATTTCAAACTCCTGACCTCAAGTGATCTGCCCACCTTAGCAACCCAAAGTGCTGGGATTACAGGCATGAGCTATCGTGCCTGGCCCAGAAGGATCTAACACCTAGAGGGACTCTGTTCTTCCTGCTCAAACTCTCTATCAGGAGGGACAGCAAAGTCCAAGCTGCTCAGCCTGGAGTGGCTGAATGCCCTGGGCCTGGTCACCTGCTGTCCCACCCCACATCCCCACCACCCTCCTCCTGAGCACGGATGAGCAGGGGCACAGGGAGGGGCTGACCCAAATACCTGCTTGCCCAGCAGCACCAGGTCCACCTTCTCCTTCTCTGCCAGCTTGGCCAGGACCCGAGCCACCTGCAGGGGACCCAAGCATTCTGCTTCTGCAGGGGGCACCTCCACATGGATACCTCGGTCTGCACCCATGGCCAGGGCGGTACGAATGGTCTCCTGCCAAGGACAGAGGAGCTTGACTTGGCTACTATCCCCAGAGGGACCCAGGAATCTGGACCCCATCCCCTCCTCCCTCAGACCCAGGAGTCCAGGCCCCCAGCCCCTCCTCCCTCAGACCCAGGAGTCTGGCCCCCATCCCCTCCTCCCTCAGACCCAGGAGTCTAGCTTCCAGCCCCTCCTCCCTCAGACCCAGGAGACCAGCACCCTCCCCGACTCTGAGTACCTGGCACTGTGCAGGCCCACAGCTGACTGCGATGACCTCCTTCAACAGCTTCTTCTCCTTGAGCCGCACAGCCTCCTCCACTGCGATCTCGCAGAAGGGGTTCATGGAGTGCTTCACACCATCCGTGACCACACCCGTCCTGTCAGGCTTCACTCGAATCTGCTCAGCAGGAGGGGAGAAGGCGGAGTCAGGAGGAAATAGGCCAGAAGGTGGGGGCCTGAGTGCCAACCCTCTCCCAGGTTGGAGGGGGACAACAGTCTGGAAAGGGGCAGGGCCTTGTCCAGGGTCACAGCTTCAGGGACAAGCTGGGTTAGAGCTTGTAGGCAGGGGCAGGTCACCCTCTCTCCTTCTCTTATCCAGACATTCCTGGGTACCAGGGACATCTGACATGACCATCCCTAATCTGTCACTGCTCCTTATCAGGCCTGAAAGAGTGGTTCTCAAATTTACAGTATTTACAGTAACCCCCAGTGAGAGGTGTATTTTACCATATCCCCAAGTGTATATAAAGACATAACGCACTGATACATAAATACAAATGAGAAGAAAAGGAAAAATCAGTTACGTAGACAGCAAAGCCTGGCACTCGGAGAAGCAGCCTGCCTGAAAAATCACAGCTACAGGCAACAGTAGAGAAGCCTGGAAAAAACTCAGGCTGCAGCTGCACAGATAAGCAGGCAGGATCCAGCACAGATCCTGCTTTTGTTCTTTGTGTGATTAATGGGCTCCCAGGAAAAGTTCCCCCCCCTTTTCAGGCATATATATGGTGGGCTCCATGGGAACTTGCAAAGGGACGGGGCGGGGCTTACCTAAAGCAAACCCTTGGGCTTGCCTAGAGACACACCCACAACTACATAGATAAGGGAGAGTTACACAGATAGCTTTACAGATAAGATACTCAAACAGCTGCAGAGATGAGAGGAGTGTCTTACAAAAGTTTTGGATTCAACTGTAAAAACTTCTTTTGCTTATTAAACTTTCGCTCCAAACTCACGCTTTGGGTGGTTCATGCTCTTTAATTCTCTTGGTTGTGAGGCAATGAGCTCGGATAACACCTTAGACAACATGACCAGTGACCTTGACCTGTTTCACAAATGCCACTGCAGTATAAGGGTAGGTTCAAGCAATTCCCCTGCCTCAGACTCCCGAGTAGCTGGGATCACAGGTACACCACCATGCCTGGCTAATTTTTTTATTTTTAGTAGAGAGAGGGTTTCACCATGTTGGCCAGGCTGGTCTTGAACTCCTGACCTCAATTGATCCACTCACCTCGGCCTCCCAAAATGCAGGGATTACAGGTATGAGCCACTATGCCCAGCCGAGAATCACTAGATTTTGATATAATCCATGAGTTGGAGTTGGGCAGGACAAAGGACAGGCAGCAGAGAGAGGGGGGTGGTGCTGGAATAAGGCATGGAATGGGTGAGCCACAGCCTCCTCTGTCAAGACAGGAGGAGCATGCAGAAACACAAGAGGTAAGGGAGGGTCTAAGGAGGGACATGGATGGCTGAAGCAGACTATGAATAGGAGGCCGAACCACAATCGGTCCCAAATGCCAGGCAGAGGGGCTGGGACTCTGTCCTGAAGGTGCTGGGGAGCCATAGGCAAGCTGGGATCAGGGGAGGGCAAGGTCAGCTCTAGGTGCAGAAAGACCCCTACGGCTGGGTAGAGGTGGGCTGAGAGGGAGAGACTTGGAGCCAGGGAGAACCTGCGAGACAATGAGACCAAGAGACTATAGGGCCGGAAGGGTGGGGGGTGGAGAACTGACAGCTTTGGGAGGAGAAGGGAAAGGGGATGGGATGGTGCCCAGTTCGAATCCGGTGTTGAGGAAGCTGGCAGGGTCTGAATCATTTATTTGTTCTGAAAAGGACATCAACAGACACATCCAGGGAGTCACGGAGCCCTGGGGCACTGCGAGAGAGGAAGGCAGCACCCCGCTCTGGAAAGGACAGGAGCTGATTCAACGCTGCCTTCACGCTTCCCTGAGTACACCAGAGACAGCCATGTGCCAGGCTCTGTGCTGAGTGACGCTGGGACCAGAGCTGAGTCAAACGTGGGCCTGCACGGTAGGGGAGACAGATCCAATCCCAGACATGCCAGGCGGGGAAGGCCAGGGCTGGGATAGAGAGAGGAGGCCCAGGGAGCTGTGGGAGTCCAAAGATGTGACAGTAATGAACAGTCAGAAGGGAGAGGAAACCAAGTGTCGGGTCCCAGGACCCCAAAAGGAATGTGTCTCAAAAGGGCTGAAGGCGACATCCCTGTCATGTGCTGCCAGAGGTGTATTAGGACAGGGGCCATTGAGTGGAGATGGGAGAGCAGTCTAGAGCTAGACTTACCCAGATTTTGATCCTAACTGCCACTTACTGGCTGGGAGATCTGGCAACTAACAACCTCCACAGGGCTGTTTCCTCACCCATCCAATGGGATTAATAATGCAGAGGTCACTGAAAGGACTGAATGAGCTAATCTCTGCAAAGGACCTAGAACGATGCCTGGCACGTAAGTACCCACTAAATGCTATCTGCTATGATCACTGATGCTTTCATGTCCAAGTCTGGCTCCTATACCCTCTTCCCCAGCCCACTCCCAAGACAGGCAGAGGAAGTATCACTGTCAACTTTGTGACCCTGGTTTCACCCACCCTGAGGCCTCCAGGGTGCCAGGCCCAGTACTAGGCAATGCTGGGAACACGGAGGTAAGAGCCCAGGATTATGGGAAGGACAGACATGGACGGATAGTCACCATCTTCAGTCCAGTTCAGGCCAAGCATTGAGAGAGATGGGCCTGAGAGACCGTGTCTGATTCACCTCTGCCCACACCAGCTTCCCTCTGGGGACAAGCCAGGCGCTCAGAAGGTGCCCTTCCCACCTCTTTCATGGAGAATGTGAGCTACTCCTCAGCTCAGTCAGGTTGGCTCTTTGACCTTTCATCTCTAGCAAACACACTTCTCTCTCCCTAGCTAGAGCCTCCTGGCTCACGCTGTGGGTATGGAGGGTGGAAGGCAGCTTCTGGGGCCCCACCCTACAGTGCCCTGTCTGACTCCCACTATAGAACATTTCGGGTAATAGCCCAATGGTAGGCAATGCAGCCCAGTGGGTGAAAGCAGTCAGAGGAACCTGGATAGAACTCGGCTCTGCCCTTCTTTAGGTGGGTGACCGCTCTGTGCCTCAATTTCTCCGTGCGTTAAACAGGGACCATGACTTCTTCCAGTGGGTAAGAAATGGAGAAAGCAACTCGCTCTGAACAGTTATCAAGAAAGTGAGTCCAGAACCACGGAAAAGAGAACAGGGCCGTGACCCCGGAGGGATCGAATGGCAGAACTTCAGTCTTTGATTTTTGCCCCTAGGTGTGACTTTGACGTTTGGGGGTTAGAGCGGCAGAGGTCGGAGGTTACAAGAAGACCCCCACCTAGTGTGCGCTCGTGGCCCCGGAAGCACACGGCTGCGGGACTTGGGGATGTGGGAGAGGGGGACCCGGTCACCTTCACAGCGTAGTCGATGACCCTCTTGACAGCAACAAGCGCGCGCAGCTCCGCCATCTTCCAGCCACAGCCACCTACAGGGTCAACACGCACCCTCCGCCGCTCCGTCCAGACGCCCCGCCCCCTGTCCCTCTCTGCGCCTGCGCGCGGCACGGTCAGCCAGTCGACCGCTGCAGAGCCCGCCCCCCCACAGAGGACCAATCGAGAGGCCGGAAGGAAGGGCGGTGTGGCAAGCAACGCAAACCAATGGGAAGCGGATCTCGGGGAGCCCACTGGACCCGGAGCGGGAGGGCAAGGCCTGGCGGAAGGGGAGGGACAGGGAACTAGAGGAAAGGTCGTGCACTAGAGGGAAGCGCGCCCGGAGTGGGGATCCTCCTGGTCCTATAAACGTTTCCCAGTGTCCCCGGATCTACTCTCTCCCTCCAGATCCCCCACTTCTTCCCGACCTCTCCAAGTTGCGGTGCTCTTGTTCCCACTACTCTGAGTCCTCTCGTGTCGGTCTCTCCACTCTCCATCCCCGTGTTCCTTGTCCCTTCCATATCCGTAGCCTCCCCTGTTCGTGTCTCCACTTCATCTTCATGACGTCCCCACAGCCTCTCCACAACCTCTCCAAAAGCCCACGTCCCCTCCTGGCCCCTCCCCTCCCCGATGTCCCTGTTCCATCCCAATCCATGTCACTCGTGTCACCACGTTCCCTATAGGTTCATATCCTTGAGTCCTCCCTGAGCCTCTATGCAACCCCGTGCCTGCGTCCCCACGACCCCCACAAAAGCACGCGGAACCGTGGCGCTAAAAAACAAAAAAAGCCGTTCCTTTATTCTGCCCCAGGCAGGATACGGTCACAGACACACGGGGAATCCTCTGATGGCGTCGGTGCTCTGCACGATCATGTCTGCCAGTAGAAAGCAGACGCCTGGGGGGACGGGAGCGCGGGGCAGGGAGAGGAAGGTGGGCCCTGGGGCGGATGGCCAGGCGTGCCCCTGGGACTGGGGTTTTGGGGCTCCAAGGGGGTCTCTGCCGGGTCTGTGGGAGTCGCGAGTGTGTTAGGGAGTCCCTGAGAAGTCCCCGGGGTTTCCTGGAAGGGCGGCTGGGGAGCCTTCTGGGTAGCCTCCTCCACCCTCTTCCCGCTGTCCACGTTACCCGCGAGAATTGAGAAGGGTAAGGCCAGCCACCCAGAAAAATAGGACCAGGAGAAGAAGACGTTGTTCTTCCACGTGTTCTTCGCCGTGTAGCCTATCAAGGCTGTCAGCAGCAGCAGTCCTGGGCCCCGCCCAGCCGCCGTGTGAGCTGGGCCAAGTGGGCCTGCACCCAGGCCACGCCCATTCAGACCCGCCCCCTTCTGTCAGGCCACGCCTATTCCCTCTCAGCCCCGCCTCTGGCCCTGGCGCCTCCTGCTTCTGAACTCCATCTCGAGCCCCGCCCCCATTTCGCGGCTTCTTCCAGCCCCGCCCCTTGAATCCCGGCGGCATTCCTCAAGCCCCGCCCCTGGTACCCAGGCCCCTCCATCACCCCCGGCCCACCCCTGCCTCCGTCTCACCGCCGAGGAAGAGGAAGGCGCTTGTGATCTGGCCCCGCCGCGACTCGCCCTCGTGCCACCGAATCCACAGTCCCAACACCATGCCCACCACGCCGAAGCCCGCCGCCAGCACCATGCACGCCGCTGTCACGGCCAGCGTGGCTGAGGAGAGTGGGCGCCTCAGCCCCCGCGGGGACCGCCCCCAGCCGCGACGGCTTCGGCCGCAACCGGAAGCTCTCCTGGCTCCTCCCCCCACCCGGTACTTGGCCTGGAGTCCGGCTTCCCCGACCTGGAGTCAGGCGTTTGGACCGGGCCTTGGAGGTCACATCAGGACCTGCGGTTACTGCCGCTACCGGGATGGGAAGGGGTTCGGGGATAAGCCCACAAGCCTGAGGGAGGGGTTCGTGGCTGCCTCGGTCGAGGAGGGACAGCTGCATCTGAGCACGGGATGGAAGTGGCGGGTGCCTTGCGGTGGGCCCAGCCCTGTGTCCCGAGCCCTGGGGGTCTGAAGTGCCGTCTGACATCAGGGCGGGCCGAGCCTCCTCACTCTGGCAGGGGATGTTGGAGCAAATGCGGTGGTTGCATTCCTGCCACAGGCCACTGTGGCCCTCGTGTTGGCGAGTCCAGTAGTTGGTGGCCGTGGAGAGCACCATGAGGACGTTGGCCAAGAGGCTGAGCAGAATGCCCCCGCTCTGGAGGCTCCGCTTCACCCCCATGCCACTGAGGCTGCAGCCGGGGGCCACAAGGGCAGGATGGGCCGAGGCCCTTCCCACCCCAGGCCCCCAGCTTAGGAGCCCGCCTTCTCCACACTTCTCCCCTAGCACTCCTGCCTGAGGCCCCTGCTTCTGGGGACCTGAAGACCCCCTCCTTCAGTTCCACGGGTGCCCCAGGCCCCTCCCTCAACAACCCTTTCTGGGGACCCACAATCTCCTCCCTTGTTCTCCTTACTGGGGACCCTGAGACTTCCCCTGAGAGGCCTCTGAGACCTTCACCACAGGCTTTGCCGTGAGCAACCTGTCTTCCCAGAGACCTCCCACACAGCAGAATGCCCCTTCAGCCTGTTCAGTACCCTCCCCAGACACCCCTCCACATACACCCACCTAAGTGACTCACACCCAGGGCCCCAGGTCTCCTTAGACAAACAGAGCCCAGAGAGATGGGGGGAGGGAGGCTGGGTCTCTGTGAGGCAGGGAGTTCCAGAACCCCCTCCCCTAGTGATTGTTTAAAGGGATAATCATTCCCCCCACCATCAGTACACATACACCCCAGTAACTCTCAACTGAGTGACAGCTCAGAATCAGACAGCAGCTCTGGGGGCAGCTTGAGGGCCATTACATGGTAGGCCAAGTCTTTCTTTTATTGTTTTTTTTTTAGAGAGGGTGTCTCTCTCTCCCAGCCTGGAGTGCAGTGGCCCCATTACAGCTCACTGCAGCTTTGAACTCCCGGGTTCCAGGAATCCTCCTGCCTCAGAGCCTCATGAGTAGCTGGGACTACAGGCATATGCCATCATGCCTGGCTAATTTTCTTAAGATTTTTTGTTGAGATGGGGTCTTGCTATGTTGCCCAAACTTGCTATGTTGCTGGTCTCAAACTCCTGGGCTCAAGCAATCCTCCTACCTCAGCCTCCCCAAATGCTGACATTATGGGTTTAAGCCACCACTCCTAGCCCTTTCTTAGAAACTTCTCTTCCCTTGGTCAGGCACACTGTGGCTCACGCCTGTAATCCTAGCACTTTGGGAGGCTGAGGCGGGCGAATCACCTGAGGTCAGGAGTTTCAGACAAGCCTGACCAACATGGCAAAATCCCATCTCTCCTAAAAATACAAAAATTAGCCAGGCACGGTGGCTCACGCCTGTAATCCCAGCACTTTGGGAGGACAAGGTGGATGGATCACCTGAGGTCGGGAGTTCAAGACCAGCCTGACCAACATGGTGAAACCCTGTCTCTACTAAAATTACAAAACTAGCCAGGCGTGGTGGTATATGCCTACAATCCCAGCTACTTGGGAGGCTGAGGCAGGAGAATCGCTTGAACCCAGGAGGCAGAGGTTGCAACGAGCCAAGATCATGCCATTGCACTCCAGCCTGGACAACAAGAGTGAAACTCTGTCTCAAAAAAAAAGAAAAAGGCCGGGTGTGGTGGCTCAAGCCTGTAATCCCAGCACTTTGGGAGTCCGAGGCGGGTGGATCACGAGGTCAAGAGATCGAGACCATCCTGGTCAACATGGTGAAACTCCGTCTCTACTAAAAATACAAAAATTAGCTGGGCGTGGTGGCACGTGCCTGTAGTCCCAGCTACTCGGGTGGCTGAGGCAGGAGAATTGCCTGAACCCAGGAGGTGGAGGTTGCGGTGAGCCGAGATCGCGCCATTGCACTCCAGCCTGGGTAACAAGAGCGAAACTCCGTCTCAAAAAAGAAAAAAAATACAAAAATTAGGTTAGCCAGGCATGATGGCGGGTGCCTGTAATCCCAGCTATTTGGGAAGCTGAGGCAGGAGAATCACTTGAACCCAGGAGGTGGAGGTTGCAGTGAGATGAAGTCACACCATTGCACTCCAACAAAAAAAAAAAAAAGAAAAGTCTCTTCCCTTGACATTCCAGGCATCCCAGAAGCTCTCCAGGTCCCCAGCTGTCTTAGTGCAGACTTCTGTTCCTCTGCCTTCTCCCCTTCACTTGTAAATCTGGGTATCCCTTGAAGCTGCACCCTGCACTCCCTTGCCAGGAAAGCCTCCTCACTGCCAAAGCTTCAGTGCTGCTTAAAGCTCTCACAGCCTCCCAAACTCCATCTCCAACCCAAGGTCTCTCCCGTGAGCCCCAGACTCAAGTTCTGCTCCTGGCTGCCCCTCAGGGCCTTAACAGTTAACCATATCCCAACTGAGTGCAGTGTCTTCCACCATAAGAGGGATGGCCCTGCCGTCCCATCCAGTTCATCGATCCCGACACTTGAGCACTGTCCTTGCCCTCTTCTCGCTTCTCACCCTGAAAAGCCTTGGGTCCTCAAGTCCTGCTCCTCCTGCCCTTGAATCTGTCTGGCTCATTCCCTCCTTTCCTGGTCCCAGGTCAGGCCTTGTCCTGTCTCACCTACTACATTACCATGTTCCTCCCTGACCTTCTGGCCTCCCCTCCAGGTCTGCAGGGGAGTCTTTCTGGCACCCAGAGCTGACACTGTCTCTCTCATGCCCAGTTTTCTCCAAACTCCCCATCACACTCGGGAGACAGTCCAGTGTGACATTAGAGGCCGGAGCCCCCACCTGCCTCTCCCTCTTCCTTTTCCATCCCCTGTCCCCTACATTCAATATCCTGGCCATAAATTATCATTCTTTATCCCCACAAGATTCTTGACCTTTCTGTGCATCCATCTTTGGGTCCCTCTTCCTGGATATTTCCTTTTTCTGGCCCTTAAGAAGCTCCTAAACATTCTCTCTCCGGAAAAGTCATCTCCATCCCTCCACAATATGGTCAGTCTTGTTCCAGCGTCCTGCCTGCACTGGGCCTGCTGTCTGGCCAGTATTAGCTGCTTCTGGTCTGTAAGTGCCTCCTCCCCACTGCCTCACAGACTGAGCCCGTGGTGGGCAGCGTCTGGGTCTGGCATGTGCCAGTGTCCCCAACATGGGGAAATGTGCAAAGAGGACCGAGTTCTGGCAAGGGGGACAAAATCAGAGAGGGATAGAGAAGGAAAGAGAGCCAGCTAAAGGGAGAAAGACACCAGGAGAAAGAAAAACACTGGAGAGGGGGAGAGACAGACACAGGCTGGCTCTCTTCCTGGGCAGGAGCGCCCTGCAGGTGGTCAGCCTGGTGGGCCCTCACCTTCCCTGGGTGCCTGGCCTCACCCACCATGGAGCTGGCAGATGGTTGGCTTACATCTTGGCAGAATTAATCTCAGAATAACCAGATTCCAGCCAAATTTTGTTGAATGAATGAAGAAACAGGAGTGGCTGGGGAAGGGCGGGACAGATGTGGGGCCAGACTTTCCCGAGGCTCCAGATGAGGCCTTTGGAATACAGCGCTCAAAACTCAGCTTGCCGTTCTTGCCTTCCACTCACAAGGTTTCATAGCCGGGCCTGGGGCCACCACAGTGAGCACTTAGACTCAGAGAACCTGGGTGGTCAGAAAGCATTTAAGCACTTGCCCCCTGCCCTCCATCCTCAGCGCCCCCAGCTGGGCCCTCCCAAGCTCCCCAGGGCAGTGAGCAGGATAGTCACCTGTGCAGAGCAAGAAGAAAGTTGAGACCCAGCCCAGGTAGAAGGACCAGGAGAAGAAGGTCTGGATCTGGGGGTCTTGAGGTTGATTCCACCGCTCGCTGGTATACACCGCCATGGCCACTACCATAGAGAGGGCTGGAGACAAGGACAAAAGATGGCTCAGTCCCTTGGCAGGAATTCACTGGCTCCCGATGCCCCAGTGCACTTCAGAGTCCTTACTTGCAGCAGAGGCTGTGATGGTTGAGATAAAGGGGCCTCGGCCGGGAGCAGACAATGAGGGGATGCAGGACAGGACCAGGAAGCTCACGGACACCAGGGCCCACAGGGCAGCCAGGATGCTGAAGCTCTGCGTCACGTGAATGTAACCTGATCAGGGGGAGACCACTGAGCATCCATCTCCTCTGGCAACCCTCGCCCACCCCAGGACACCCACTCCCCTTACCTGCTACGGGGTTCCCATGCCCATTTGGCCAGAGGCCCGAGTGAGCTGAGAAGGTGGGACCCTCAGCCACAAACCAGAAATCGGTGCTCAAAGCAATCAGGCAGAAAATCAGGCCCAGGGAGCCTGTAAGCAGGGCCAGGGACCGGAAGCGCTCCATGAGGGTAAGCTTGGGGCTTCTGGGTCCTGGCGGAGGAAGAGGCTGCTGATCAGACTCTTGAATCTCAGAGAGGAGGAGGCTGTGCACCTGGACTCCTGGGTCCTCTGAGCTCAAGAAAGAGAGACCAGGAAGTAGTCTTGGGGCAGCGAGGGGTCTTGTGCTTTGTCAAATAAGGCTGGTTTGGTTTCACACAGTTCCCGGTAGCTGACTTTTCACATACCCTCCCTTCCTGGATTGCACAGGCAACGTCCTCCCTCCCCTCCCTGGGGTCCGGTTCCCTCCTTCATGTGTGGTGGGGGAGGACACGGAGGGTGTCAGATTGTCAGTGGTTTGGGTGGTGGTTTAGAACTTGCCTCTGTCACAGGTTCTATGGCTCACACCCGTGGAGCCCTCAACACCAAGTGGGGGCTTCCAGGAAGAGGTGAGAGATAGAGAGAGGCTTGGGGGCCCTGAGGTGGGAGGAAGCCAGCCAGGCGAGGGTTTGCGTTAAGTGGGTGGGGAGATGTGGCCAGAGGGGACAGTTGGGGATGTGTCATACTTTCCTGTGGGTTCTGCAGTCCTCCATTCTGGAAGGGGAAGGCCCCAAGTCTAGGGTCTCTGCTAAAGGAGGGGACTTGGGAGTTAGAACTCCTGGGGCTTAAGGAGGAAGGAAGTGGGGGCTCGAGCTCCAGGTCCTGAGGGAGGAAGGGGTGGGCAGAAGCTCAGAATCCTGGGCCCCAGTTTAGAACATATGCTAAGGACAGGTAAACAGCAGAGAATCACAATTCTGAAAGGTTTGCAGAGTTGCAGACATACCCACATCCTCATCTGATTAATGAATTCAGTGGCATCTCTGCTTGGGTGGGGGCTCCAGAGGTGGCCTTTATCACCAGGACTGGGGGCTTAGGGGGCGTTGGGGGACATAAGGACTTCAGTCCAAGGTTCTCCAGCCCTCCAAACGCTAGCTTCTTCCATCCACACCAACATCAGGTCCTGGCAACACTTCACCTGTGAGCAGGTATAAGGTGAAGGTGCCACAGCCCAGGAAGAAGGCCCAGGAAAACCTGAGCTCTGTGAAACAGGGTGATGTGGTTAGGCTTTGTGTCCCTACCCAAATCTCATCTTGAATTGCATCCCCATAATTCATGCGTATCTAGGTGGAGACCATGTGGAGGTAATTGAATCATGGGGACGGCTTCCCCCATGCTGTTCTCGTGCTAGTGAGTGAGTTCTCATGGGATATGATGGTTTTATGAGAGGCTCCTCCTGCCTTCGCTTGGCAGGTCTTCCTGCCACCCTGTAAAGAAGGTGCCTTGTTTCCCCTTCGCCTCCCACCATGACTGTAAGTTTCTTGAGGCCTCCCCAGCCATGCAGAACTGTGAATCAATGAAGCCTCTTTCCTTTACAAATTATCCAGTCTCAGGCAGTTTTTGTTTGTTTGTTTGTTTTTGTGCGACCTCACCTGGCTAATTTTGTATTGTTACTAGAGATGGGGTTTCTCCCTATTGGCAGTTCTTTTTTTTTTTTTTTTTTTTTTTTTTTTTTGGGGTTTTTTTTTTTTTTTTTTTTTTTTTTTTTTTTTTTTTTTGAGATGGAGTCTTGCTCTGTAGCCCAGGCTGGAGTGCAGTGACACAATCTTGGCTCACTGCAACCTCTGCTTCCCGGGTCCCGGTTCAAGCAATTCTCCTACCTCAGCCTCCCAAGTAGCTGGGATTACAGGCACAAGCCACCATGCCCAGCTAATTTTTGTATTTTTTAGTAGAGACAGGGTTTCACCATGTTGGCTAGTCTGGTCTTGAACTCCTGACCTCGTGATCTGCCTGCCTCAGCCTTCCAAAGTGCTGGGATTACAGGTATGAGCCACCACGCCCAGCCAAGCAGCTCTTGATATAAGTGTGAGAATGGACTACCACAGGGAGTAGCCTGGAGGAAGACCTCTGTAGTGAAGATGAACTGGGCCAGTAGTCCCAGAACAGCCGGCGAATGTGGAGAATGGGAAATGACCTGGCAGGCCGAGTCCTCTCCTTTATTAGAGAGACTCTAATGAGGGATGGGGCAGCCCCCATCCCTCACTCAGATCTGCACCACTCTGAGAACACGTTAATGAGCAGAAACTCCCAGAGGTGGCAGAGGCCATGAGCAGGCCAGGTCCCTGGAAAGGCTTCCAGGAATCTCCATGGTGTGCAGTGAGTAGTGGGTCAGAGAACACAGCTCATCTGTGACCCTGACTCCCTCCCAAACCCAAAGCCATCCTTAACCCCAGCTTTAACCCCAAACCCAACTCCATCCCCAAACTCAGCCTCAAGCTCAGTTCCAACCACAAATTGAAACCATCCCTATCCCCAAAGTTAACCTTATTCCCATTCCTGAACACAACGCCAAACCCAATCCCATCCCGATTTATAATCTCCACCCCAGCTTTAACCCCTAATTTAAACCCATCCCCATCCTCAAATAGAACTCCATTCTCAGTTCAACTACACACTCAACCCCATCCCCCAATTTGACCCCATTCCCAAACCTAATGCCATTCTAATTCCAAAACTCAACACCATCCTTAATCCAAGCTCCAACCCCTAGCCCCTTCCCACCCTCAAATCTAACTCCATTCTCATTCTCAAACCCTACCCCATCTCCAAATCCAACCCCTCTCCATTATTACCCCAGCCCCTACTCCAAATTCAACACTTTGGGAGGCCTAGGCAGGTGGATCACCTGAAGTCATGAGTTGGAGACCAGCCTGGCCAACATGGTGAAATCCCCTCCCTACTAAAAATACAAAAATTAGCTGGGCCTGGCAGCACATGCCTATAATCCCAGCTACTCAGGAGGCTGAGGCGGGAGAATCACTTGAACCCAGGAGGTGGTGGTTGCAGTGAGCTGAGATCACACCACTGCACTCCAGCCTGGGCAACAGAGTTAGACTCCATCTAAA